GCGGACGAGGATCGGTTAGATAAAACATCTGACTCGGGGTGTCCGAATAGCCACGTGAGGCCGGACCCACGGAGCTGGCGAGAAACGAGCCCATATTGGGATCGGAATGATGATCCACGGGGCTAAGGAACGGAGCCGATGTGTGCCGTGTGCGTTCAGGTTCCTCTGGCGCAGCTGGACGATGTTGTTGTTGTTGTTGGTGGTGCTGAGGATGATTCAGATTTGGATTGGTGAGAGTGGAGAACGGATGAAGCAGTGCGGCAGAGGAGGACGATTCGGTGATGGCCGGATAGGGACGCGTACGAATGGGACCTTTCTCATCACTGCTACTGCTACCGTCGTTATTAAATGCATGCCGATGTGGTGGCGGGATAGGACCAAAACTGGGGGCATACGGTTGGGTGAATCCAGCACGTTCTTCGGTCAATTTCGAATCAGACGTTTGATTGGATGAATAGCGTGGACGTGGACAATACAGCTGTTGCTCGTTTGGATGCGTTGCAGGCTCGTTGGTAGGTAAAGCTGCGAACAGCACATCCCCGTGAGAGTTCGGAGTGCCGGTTGAGCCGGACATGGACTCGAGATCATTTGATCCGGAGGCTAGGGTCCGTTCCGACCACGGTTCGTTCAGCCGATACACATTGTGTCCCTGATTGTCTGTGACACATAAGTAAATGAATGGACATTAAACAGAACTCGTTTTAGTGGGGCAAATATGAACTTTTCAATTTATTCGATGCACGGAGGTGAAGCTTTGGGAACACGATCAAGGTGGTGGGGGTTGTCATGGTCTCAAAATAAGCAGTATGAAAAGTTTCAACAACCAGAATATGACTATAGAAAACTTAATGTATACGAGAATGTACACTGTCCTCAAAGAATCGTTTGAACACAGCTATCCTGCACTGAATGTTAACTATCCCACTTGTGAAAATGAGTTTACAAAACTGCACGGCACAATCGCAGCAAAGTTTAATGTGAACTGAACAACCTACCGGAACGGTATAAGTTCCATCATGATGATCATCATCATTATTGTACAGCGTAATACAGTGGAGCGAACTTCACTGATCACTGCCAAACTCATATTGCATACAAGGTAAATGAGAATCTGTAAGGAGGACAGTGATTGGGCCTATTTTTGGGGACGGGAAAAGAAAGCTAACCTCTATGGTTAACACACAGAGAACACAGTTCAACGGTGCATGCATTCCATTTCAAGCATTGTGGTCTGATAAGAAGTGACAGGAAGATCATCATTGCTGTTGATTTGCAGCCATGACCTTCAGTGTCTCCAACCATACGGTTTCGTAGCTTTTTGGACCCCAGCCCGGAGGACGAGAGACTCTACCTAATCGCTCAGTGTATTCCTTCATGCTTCGTCTCCGTGTCATCTGCTGGCATCCACGTGGCTTTCTCCAGTCTGCAACAGCTACTACAAATCAGGCGCGCTGCGGTAGGCGACCGTCGGACATACGCAAAACGTGTCCTAACCGACGGAACCTATTGAGCTGGATTCGATGCAATTGCGAGTTTTTGTTGGATGCATTCCCAAAAGCAAATAGTGAAAAGCCAATCGATCAGAACAAGCTCATACTACCGGAGCTGTACACATACACACACACAACCTGGATGTGATTACGACCTGATATTTGTGAATGCTATTCGGCTGAGCTCCATCATTCACCCTTGGTAATGGCCCCCTCTCTTGTCGATAAGGAGTCCGCGTTTTGTGACAAGTGAAAATCCACGACAAAGCTAATTCCGGTATCGGTGAAGGAATCGCTTCGTAACCTTATCATCACCATCCGCATCATGATCATTTTCAAAAAAGGACTATGGATTCACCCACACCCCGCACGCTTACACTAAGACGAACAACTGTGTGGTCTAAATGCAAGCCAGCTGCATGGATTTCACCAGTGTGGAATCAGTTGGGTTTGGACCGATGAATCAAGTTTGCTGAGCTGTCGTCTCTGAAGACCGGAGGTTAGATTTTGTTCCCACAATGACCTCAGTTGTTCATTCATTCATCTAAGGTACGGTGAACCAGCAGTCAAGATTCGGGCCCATGGAAATCAGCTCGCTCAGTCCATCAGACCAAACGAATAGCTTCTACACCGTCAGAGGGAATCCGCCACTTGGCAACATTGACGTGGATCCGGAGTTCACAGCCCGAACGGGTGGATTGTGTGTGAAAGTGAAGTCCGAAGAATAGTCAGTTCAAATCAATGGTGACATACTCATTCCATTTGTGTACCACATCTGGCCCTTCGACCTCCACACACTAATCCCTCCATTTCTTCTATCACTTGCACAGGAAACACTGCTTTATCGCTCCACACTTGTTATTACGGCGTTCGTGTGCCGGGGCCAGTGATACCGATGCATTGTCCAATCGAGGCATTCGTGTGTCGATAGTAGTTTGTCACACACGAAACCTGTTTACCGCAAATCGCACATTCAGACCGCGCGTTTTCATCACTCGTCAGTCAGTTCAGTGCAGTGCACGTACTGAATCGGGCAGTGAACATTTTCCTAGTAAGCGCGATACGAGCGAGTATAAAGCGATTTGACCACAGACATCGAAATATCCTTTGTGACAACACCTCGCTTGTTACGAAGGATGGGTTACTATCAGAGTTATGCCGACATATGCCAACATCTTTAGAATAGTTTTATCAATCTGGAAATGGTAGATTTTGGTCTACCCAATCCACAGGCTTTCACATGGCGATAACCTGGCCAGTAACTTGCTCTGGTTGTCCGCATTCGTTTTGAATTAAAACGATGCGGCTAATGTATATCCGTTTCGCTTTGCACGTAAGAAAAAAAGTCAACTAGTACGCGTGAACATGGTTGCTGGGTGTGAATGAAGATCACGTGAATTGAAGTGGACGAGAATTCGGTCATATGAATGAGTGAATGCAGAAAAGGTGAGCTCAGCTCTACGCGGTTCGACAAGTCTGTGCGTAAATTATTTGGAAGTTATATACAGGTGTTAACCAACCTCGTGCCACAGCATATTTTTTCACAGTTGAAGGATGGTATATCTTCTCACTTGAGGGTGGTAGTAAAAAACGATTAGATCTCATTAAATATTATTTTTTCACATTCTTGCAGTTTCTGGACGAGCCAAGTCCAATGTCGAACTTATTCAATTATCGCCCAGCAATTTGGATATGAATCTACTCGAAACGTTCTCTCTGTGTTCAAAACAGAGACAATTTAGCTGCCTCCGCGGTGGTCGCCAGTGGTTAGGGTGCGGTATGAATTAGAGGAAACTGGTGAATTCTGTTGTTGAACAGTCAACTTGGTGGACTCCATGCTAAAGCGACTGCCTCCAGTGCTCAAAAATGCAGAAGGGCAAATAGAATATGGACCAGATTAAAGTACATTACCTGTGTGAAATCCATGATTCATTTCGATAGATGAAATCTAGTTACGTTTTCTATTGTGACTTTGTTATTTTACAACTAATATACCAACAATCATCGTCGAAATCGAGAAAGTGTACATTTTATTGACCTTCAACCAACGAACACAAAGACATAGGTAGATATCATTACGAATAGGTTACGTCTGATGTGGGGCAATATTAAATTCAATCCCTTGTGAATGAGAGTGGCAAAACTAAGCGCTTGGGAGGAATAAATGTGATGAATGCTGTCAGGGTGTTGCACGACGTTTGATCAATATACTGGCATAACAAAGCGAAAACAACTAAGATAACATAAGAGGTGGGAAAGTTTGGGTGTTGAGGAATCCGGACAAGCATAACTGCTCTCTTCTCTACTAGCAATCAGTGGACTACATTGCATTACGGTTATACCCGTACGTCGAGTATGTGAAAAAAACAACGGGCAGTTGCGCAGGTATACACGTGTTAGGTTCATCCCATGAGGGGATGTGTTGAAAGTCATCGCAAATAAAATGGTCTGTCTGGGTATCTTGCAAATGAGCTGAACTAGGGGAGATTAAAATCAACCTCAGTATGGTCGGTTGGTCACCGTTCCTTTGCACCTCGTGCGAAATCCACCCATACAACCAAGCATCTCAAATAGCCTCTGCTGACGAAGCCCTGCATTCTCGTGATGGATGTGTTTTCCCACCAAAGTGAAAAGACGAAAAACCTACATCCGGGGCTATAGCCGGTTTGGTGGACCACTGGCAGG